GGCCGCTCGCGCCACCTCCAAGGTGAACGAACCCTTTTCGCCCTAAGCCGCGGATAAGGACGCCGACTCTCGGCAGGGCCGAAAGCTCGGCGGACGAGTTCGTCGCTCGATCGCGCCCCGTGGCCGCACCCAAAGAATCCAGAAGTCCCCATAGAAGCCCAGAAGGATACGGACGTTCGATGCTTGATAAATAATAGTAGAAAAATAATAGCTCGTTAAATAATAGTAGGTAAATAATAATAGCTCGATAAATAATAGCAGATAAATAATAATAGCTCGATAAATAATAGCAGATAAATAATAATGGCTCAATAGAAAGTAAATAGTATCTTAGCTAACGGATGGCGGCGCTGTAATCATCTCTCCAGCTCTCTTAATCTTATGGCGATATATAGCGAATTGCATTTTTTATCTTACACCCAATACTCGCCATTCTATCTGCGTCTCTCTTCCTCCCATATATGAGATATCATTGGCTAACACATGTGATCTCTCTTTCACTCCCACTTCTGGTTTGTTAGCAAACTTTAACACTATTTCTACCAAAGGTGTCAAAAGACACCTTTTAAAATTTTAACTTGAAATTATTTTCAGTTTAATAATTTTTTTCTCAATTAATGTTTTAAGTTTTCGTATAATAATTGTTAAATTTATTTAGCGGTATCATTTTCCTCCAGCTCATCAAAACCTTTTGATCGAAATAGGTATACACAAAATCGTGGTAGAAATAGTGTTAAGAGCATCAAGCGCTAAGGTTGGTTCTGGGCTTCTAGGGGACTTTTGAATTCTTTGCCGCACCTCGAGGGACCCATCTAATTCCCCGTCATCTAGGCTAGTAATAACGCTTCTTGTCGGCATTGCGCCACGTAGCGGGACTTTTATTTTTCAACGTACCGAGAGCGGTCAAACTCGAGGTAGTCTTTTATTCGTCTTGGAAATTAACCGTCTGAGTCCCAAGCAGAGCGATCGCGCTGTTTAGATTTCATGTCGAAAAGAAAAACCAGGACATTTGAACGGTATGGACAACTGACGGTGTACTTAGAGTCTATTGAAATAGCGCTATCGCGCTGCTTGGCTCTAGTCGCGCTCTATTAAGGTCTATATCTATAAGGTCTATAAGGTCTAATCTAATAAGGTGATATGAAAGAGTCAGTCTATATGCATCTGAGAAATGAAATCGTCGGGGAAAGTATTCCCCGAATTGGGTGTACCGATTCGTATCAAACTTTACCAGGTAAATATGGAGACCCTAAAGTAGGTCCTGAAACTAATGAAATTTTATTTTTTATCAAAGAGTGATTGAATTCATCAAAGAGTAAAATTGAAAATGAAGAGTTTCAAGACCTGGCTCGAACAATTTAGAACACCGTAGAAATGGAATATTACAAGAAGTCATATCTGCAGTACCCAATGGCGAACCAAAAACACATAAATACGAAACAAAGTTAAGTACACGCAATGTCTCCCTGTTTGTACCCAAATGTCCAGCTGAATTAATCTCACGCATTGCCGATAAACAATTGCAGCGTCTGCAGCTCATAACTGAGCGATGGCGTGACAAATTAACCGTGCATCATTGTTCAAAATTATTTAGCAATATGGGTACATACATAGCAGACATTCCATTGAAGAAACGGTCCAAAAATACTTATGTAAATCGATTTTCCTCCTCGTATGACCGTAAATTTTATGTCTAGGATTCGAGTGGTCGCATCACCGGAAGCCAGGAGTGCACCTGCCGACCCTGGGCGAGGAGGCCTGCACCTGCACCTGCGGAGGGCGGTCGGCGAATTAGGCGTGGGAGGTGACGCAGAAGGAGGCTGACTTTGACGCAAGGCGGGGCGCATGCGTGTAAGTGAGCAACGAGTAATAGGATTGCCTTAATTAGCCCGGTGGCGGAGAACAGGTGCAGCGCAGGAGGGAAGGGAGCTGCAGCTTCGGCAAGGAGGATCAGTCCGAGGAGGGACCGGGGGCTTAAAGGTCGCACGTCATACCGGGTCACATCTAGTAGTCGCTATTCAGGCCAAAGGCGGGGTGCAGGGGACGACTGGGTGACACGGAAGCTTCGGGGCAACGGGGAAGGGGGAACTGCACTTGTTAGATTCTCTCGAGTAAATCGCTGCTCCACTTGCCTGCAGGAGTGGGGCGCAATTACATTATGTCGGCGAACGCGCGGCAATTCCGTTAGTTAGGTCTCGAGCTCTTGTTTGCAAATAAATTGTTAGATAAGCGTTAAGGTAAAGTGACGCCCCCCTCGAGTTGGTCGATCCGAATAAGACACTTTGTTCTTTTCTTCTCATAAATTTAAAGTATTGTAACTATGAAATTGCAATATTTTAGATTATGGTAAAGTAAAGCCCCCCTCGAGTCGGTCGATCCGAATAAGACACTTTGTTTTTTTTCTTCTCTTAAATTTAAGGTATTGTAACTATGAAATTTCAATATTTTAGATTTAACAGGGTACCTAAGGGTCCTCTTGATTCCGTTTCACTCTCTAAGCCTTACTTCGAATTTGTACGTCCTGCTTAGTACGAATTAAATCCTACTTTAGGCCGAAAAGTAGATGAAATGGAAATATTCACCACTCTTAAGATCTGTAATAAGACCTCGATTATAAAGAACGTACTCATCTGTACATCGTTACTAAACCCATTTAACAGATTGTTGACTGGTTACGAGTTAACTCGTGCTGAAACCACTAGCGTTGCAAAATTGCCGGTCAATAATGTGTTAAGGTGATGTGAAAGTGGCCTCAAAGAGGTATCGTTTATGAAACTTATCTCCGAACTGGGTGTGCCAAATTGTCTCAGACTTGACAATGTGAATATGGAGGGTATAAAAAAGGTTCTGGAACCCATGATATTTCTATTTTAAGATAATTTGTCTATAGCTATTTTGAACAATTTAAATAACAAATGAAATTTCCCGAGTTGCAGTTATGCATACGTACCAAAAAGTCAACATATTTCTAATACTTTTCTCCGAACAGGCAGCGCGTTCTACCTTAGAGCCTCCATAATCACGTGTTAAAGTTATAACTCGGTGCACCCAGTTTGTAGTAAAATTTGATAAATATTTCAACTTTTTGGTATATTTTATATCACACTTTCATATCACCTTAAAAAAGGCATACAGCTCGAGGTTCCAAGTAGGATAGAAAATTTCGTCTCGGGAGATGCGAGATAGTGCGGCTTTTTTTTTCTGCCACCTCCGGGATTTCGCCTCGAAAGCCGCGAGCCGGTCGATAAGCGATCTCTCTTGCTCCTGATTTAGGGGTTTTGCTCGGTCGACCCGTGCCAAAGTCGTGGTTCCCGATAAGCGCGCGCCATCGAGGGCTTTCCGGTGACAGGAAGTCCTATCGGTCGCGCTCGGCGCGAGGACGCTCGCGCACATCCTCGTTGCGTCACCCAGTTCGTCGTTTCTACCTCACTACCTCTCTCGCTTGTCCCCCCTCTTCCTCGCATTCACATCCGCGGATTCCACGAGAGCTCCACTTGGTCACTCCACGGTCCACGGTGCGTTCCAGCTCGTCACTCCACGAGGCGCGTCCCGCGTCCCACTTCGCCCGGTTTCGCCCTCCACCCAGTTCATCCTCGACGCGAATGCATTTATCCGCACTATGCACGGAGGGAGACCCGCCGAGGGCTGCGGAGTCTCGGGGAAAAATAGCGAAACCACTCTCCGTGGCATACTTCGGTTTAATTCAATTTGTACGGGAATATCGCATGACGCCCAGGCCGAGGCTGGGAAGGGAACGCTCGAGCCACGTGGGTGGTACGTTTCCGGGATGAACTCTCGGTCGGTAAACGATGCACGTGGTTCGCTACTGGCGTCACAGATGGCGCGACGTAAGCCGAGTCGGGGAATCTCGGGACCTACCTATGAACCACGCGTATTCCGGCTCTGCGACACGGTAGATTTTTTTCAAATTTATAAAGTGAAACTTCTTATGGTAATGCGCGTAAGTTTGCATGTTATGATAAGAACCCTACTCGAGAATTGACACTCCTTTTTTTACGGTATATTACTATGTACACCCATGCTTTAATATTGACAGAGTTTGCGTGAGCGTTTTGGTTAGTGGGGTTTAATTTCAATTTGTTGTCTAGGAAGCCAAATGTGCTCCTGGCTTGGCAAAGTTGGCATTAAGGAATATAACGAACATTTGGAACGTTTTGGAAAGGGAGCCGAGAAGGGGAATCAACCTCCAATTCCAGCGAAACGATATACGAGAGGTAAACTACGATTTGGAAAATCGGACACTCCAGAGATTTGCAATTTCTCTGTGTTCGTATAGGAGGGTAGGCTCGTGCCCGAGCGGGACATAACTCTCCCGAGGGAGGGTCTATCGATTAGCTGTCTAGGTTCCGTCGCGAGCCTCGTCCGGACGGTGGCATTATCTTTCGTGGTGACATCGCCAGTCGGTTAGCCGGCGCTTCCTACACGGTGCATCGCGCATCTCTCTCGACGAGATGCGTCGCGACGCACCGAAACGCATGCGGGGCGTCCGCGCCCTTACGAAAGTTACAACACCTTGCGAGATGATTACGACGGTTCATCTCATTTTACAAACTTCAACTATGAATTAGTGGCGTTGCACCGTAAAGATATGCAGAAAAGCACTTCTAGTACGTATGGTTGCGGTATAACTATAAATTTGACGTTTTAAGGTGATATCAAAGTGACATCGGAGGTCAGTTTTTCGTTAATGTATTCTTCGAAGAGGGTGTAGCAATTTGTTCCAAATCTTACCAGATGAATAAGGTGCATTGCGCACCTCTCTTTCTCTCTATATATATATTTATATAGTGCACCACGCATGATGCGCGCTGCACCGGACAAGGTACGCCATGCACGACGCAAGGCGTTCGGTGCAGCGTCCATGGTGAGCGGTGCACGATACGGGAATGCACGGTGCATCGCCGTGGAACGCTCCATTACAGAAAAGATACCCGCGCGTCCGCGGGAATTACGCTCTGGCCACTTTAAGGTCTACTCACAACGATCATCTCGGAGGGCTCCAGGACGAAGCATTCGTTGGGTCTCCTGGCGCTCCCGCCCGTCCGCTTGCCGAAGCTGCAACATAAATAGAGAAATTTTCGTTTAATATGCGGGATATCGTTACCTTTTCTCTTCCTAGATAGTACGACGGCGAAATCGAGAAGAGATAAAGGGACCATCTTTATCCAGTAGCGGGAAAGAATTTATTAAGGCGATATTAAAGTAGCGTTTGAGGGGTCTTATGAAACTTTTCTCCGAACTGAGTGCATCGAGTCGTTTGAAATCTCACTATGTCAATACGGAAGCCCTAAGAAAGGTTCTGACACCCATGGATTTTCATTTTTTAATTCGTTTTCAGTCGTTTCTCATGTTTTCATATTTACGTGGCGAAACTTCAAACGGTTCGGTACATTCGATTTGCAGAAAAGTTTCATTAGCCATTGACCCCTCGGATGCCACTTTCATATCGTTTTAAGGCTTCCGGTAATTTCTTTTATGGGGCCTCCTGAGACTGGAGGGTCGCTAAAATCTTGTTTCTTCGGCCGATAGAGTTCTTCTCGAAATAGCATTTTTTTAAGTGGTAACCGTACAATCACTAGGAAGTGATCACTTCACGCCGACAATTAGACGAGGAGGTGAGAAAGAATTAGAAGGTGGGAGTTTATCGACTACCAGAGTGTTCTAAATTGTGGTCAAATTGTCTTAATCCTCTATCTCATATCAGAGCCTTCGATAATTGTATATAGATCGAAATATGTGAGCTCGACGCCATTTTGATTCTGGTCTGGACTAAGTTAGTGTTTTTTTTTTTTTTTCTTTTCAAAAGCCATATTTTGAATGTGTCAGGACAATTTTTAGATGATCACGAGTCACGTGTCAAAGTTTCGAACAGTTTGGACCAATACCCTTAGGAAGAAAAAGTGTTTTATTCGAATCGACTGATTTGAAGGGGGGGTTTCACTTCACCTTAACAATAGCAACCGCGGTATTATTCCTACGTAATAATACGTAACGTATATCAATGACGTCCGTAAGCCCACGTAAGAAGCGTCACCTTTCAACCCCTTATTTCCGTTCATGAAAAACGTGGGATAAAAGCGGTCCCTACTAGGTGTAACACGTAGGTCGGGTGACCAGCTTCGCCACAGCAATTCCCTCGCAAATATATAGGCCACAGGGTATAACGATTTAATCACGCTTCCACGCTAGTAGCTAAAACAGCGAATCGATAATTAAAGGACAGGTCGGGTCGCTCGGAGGCGTTTATCGAGGTTTATCTCGTTGGTAGACCGATTGTTCCACGAAAGACACGCCGAATTATCCCAGGACAAATGCGGTTTGAGGTGAAGTGAAACGCGTCGAGGAGCTTGATCGACGTCGACAAAGAAGATTTTTCTAAATGCCTACGTTGCCGACATTGGTTTTTATATTGACAGCCGTGTCGAATTATATTGGATATCGTACCAAATGGCATACTCCACCTGTCGTTTCCGTACAATAAATATCAAGAAATCGAAGCAAAACTCCAGAAATCCTCTGAATTCCTGCTTTCTGGAGCCCTAATTTACTGCAGAGGGACCCCCTGCGCCATCTGTGATTTCCAGGTCAATTAAATTTTCACTCCGAGACCTCGTATTCCCATCGTTTTCGCACAGAAGCGCATACAACACTTTTTTTGCCTTTATCCCATTCAAATGCGAGTTTATCGATTACCAGAGTGTTCTTAATTGTCGTAAAATTGTCCTGACCCTTTCGATTCTCATATCAGAGCCTTCGATAATTGTATATCGATCGAAATATGAGAGCTCGACGCCATTTTAGTTCTGGTATGGGCTGTTAAAAAATTTGTTTAAAAAATCCAAATTTCGAATGTGTCGGGACAATTCTTAGATGATCAGGAGTGATGTGTCAAAGTTTCGGTTAGTTTGGTCTGATACCCTTTAAAAAAAAGTGTTGTATTAGAATCGACTGATTTGAAGGGGGATTTCACTTCACCTTAACGGCTTACTTCAAAGAGGTCCAATTCGGAGGGATGTATTCGGAGATCGATGCGATCTGGATTTCCAGGGACCCCCCACGAATCTTCCGAAAAGCCCTCCACCCTGCCCTAGATACCTCCACCCGGACGTTCTTTCTCGTCGCGTGGCTCGTTTGCAAATGGCGTCCTCGGCCCTTTCAAAGTTCTTTGGAAAACGAGGCGGCATCAAAGAACGACAAACGGAAGTCGCACGCCCCAAATAGTCGGCTACTCTGGCCGGAAAATGTCTACCGACTTTCCGGCCCACGGTAACAAATATCGACAAACCTCCGAGAAGATGCAAGATTCAGGGAGATATTTCCGCGCTTCGGACATTGCACGTTGACGTCTTCTTCGGTGGTTTTGATCCCGCCTGACAAACGATACGGATGTCCATATTGTTAAGATGATATATGAAAGGCGATGAGAAATAGAACAGAGTCGTTTAATTGACCGAATTTGGTTGATTTCAGAAAGCGCCTTGGTTGAGTTAATCACTTATACCAAAATGCTTAATTTAATTAACCATAAATTGTTAACCAAAGAATTTAGCCGACTTTGTTGTCCGTACAATAACCATATTCTGTGACCGAATTATCCGAAATTGAATTGATTCACCCGAACATTCTTCTGCGTGGAGCCTCCGAGAAGTCTCGTTCTCCACACTTGGGGAAACAAAACAAAACTGCGAGTACAGGCATCGCTTGAAATTTCCCTCCGCGAATATGGAGGTCCTAAAGAAGTTCCTGGTTTTAACGCGACCTTGGAAACGTTCGTAAAGAAACGATGAAAAATGAAATTTCGCGAACGTCGGACCTTCCTCAGGGGCCTCCACATTTGCGCGGTAGAACTCGAAGGATTCGCAACCCGTCCAGTTCGTAGAAGTTACGTGAACGAGACACCTCGGAAGGCACTTTCGTATCACCTCGAGGCGATAAGGTCCCTGGGACCATCCGGGACACGGAATGCCCGGGTAAAAAAGGAAGCCTCACCATACGGAGAAGCGCCTCCTGGGGAAGGCGGGGGCCGGGGGCGGCTGGATGCGGCGTCCCCTGTCGACGCTCTCGCTGCGCAACGCCTGGACGGCCTTGGGCACTGCCCTGAAGGGCTCCTGGGCGGCCCTCAGGGCGCCGTTGGCCCCGCTGGGGTCCCCGAAGTTGACCCCGCCGCCGCCCCCGTGGAAGCTGTTCCACCTCCGGACGGGGCCGCGGCCGGGGGCGGCGGTTCCGGGAGATCGCAGCTGGCTGGTGTGCTTGTGCATCCTCCTCGAGGGACTTCACAGGGAGGTGGCGTCCTCTCGCCCTAGGGGCTCCTGCCTGGAGTTCTCCTCCATCCTCGACCACCTCCCCGCCGTCCTCTCGAGAAGTTCCCCCTAGGTCTTCTCGTTCCTCGGCATCTCGCCGAGCCGCTCCCTCTCGAGGTCTCCCTTCCCATCCGGAGCTGGCCTCTGGGTCCTATCTCCTCGGCATCCGGAATCTCGTTCCAGAGGATGCCGGGAAGTGTCCCGAGGGACCCCGATGCCTCCAGGGACCCACCGGGTCTTTCGGAAACTCGCTTTCTTCTCCGCACTCTCACCGTTCACACTTCCGACGCTCGCTTCCTCGCACTTTCGAGATCTGCATTCTCTTTGACTGGACTCCAAGGCGCGGCTTCCTGAATGTCGTGTAAGGTGTAGGAAACCGAAAATCGGAAATTCAAGGGCGAGTCGAAATTTTGGCCCTGCTTGGAAACTGCGGTATCTAAGTGTCCTATTTCGCTCATTAACCCTTTCAGCACTATGGACCCGTAAGTGCGTCCGACGTTTGGTCCAATATCGCTTGTACGCCCTGATGAAAGTCGCCCATACGCCCAAAGGACTTACCGGTGAAAGGGTTAAGGTGATATGAAAGGGTCGTTCTATATATATCAAAACGTGAGAATATTTATAAAACTTTTCTCCAAACCGGGTGCATTGAATTATCCCAAACTTTAACACGTGATTACGGAGGCCCTAAGGAAGAGCGCAAATATTCGTGAAATTTCATTTTCAACAAAAATATTCTTTTTATTTAGTCTAGGCTAGAACCAACATCACATATTTTTTTTTTTTTTTTTTCGTGAAGAATGAAATTTTACGAGCATCGCGTTCTTCTTTAGGGCCTCCACAATCACGTGTTCATGTTTCAAATTATTCGGTGCACCCAGTTTGGAGAAAAGTTTTATAAATATTTTCACGTTATATGTACATACACATACATACATGTATGTATAAAGAATGACCCTTTCATATCGCCTTAAATTCTGCTTTCGACCTTCCACAAAATGTGAATTAGGTGCTACTGTAGGCTTACAAGTAGAAGGAACGGCAATGTCTACCACTTTCAGGGTATAAAGTGGGCAGCAGTTCTCTTCTCTAAACAATCTCGAAACTCATTTAAATTCTGCAGCCAGAGGTCCTAAGTGGGTTCAACATTTCGACTCGGGAGACCCGGAGAATCCGGAATGGCCCCAGACCCTGACCTCCGCAATACCTGGAGAGGGAATTGCATTCGCGCATCGGATGCTGCATATCCTGGGGCCGATTAAAAGCCAGGAAAGTGCTACCTGTCTGAATAGCAATGTGGGAATATGATCTAACGGCAGTTAACGGGGACGCCGGTAGATTATGTATGCAAATTTCATTACGTTTCCAGATTTTTACGGATTTCTATCGCCGAGGCGAGCGAGCCAGAGGCGCCGCGGGATTTTGGTTTTATGCTAATGGGTCCAATTTACTCGAATATACCTATTTCAATTCCAAATCCAGCTATTGTTAAGGGACGATTACGGGTCAGGTGGGTCCGGGATTTATTTATGAATACATTTTTTGCCACTCTTCTGTGCAGAACCGACCGACGTAGCTAGAATCTTGTATGTCGCGTAACCCTTCCTCGCGATGTATCCTCGCCTTTGCGAGGTGATAAGGAGAGCCACCGATAAACCCGAGACGTCGACATCTCAAGTGTCACATAGACGCAACGTTTCCACCGTTTCGTCGCAGACCTGATAAGGCGGAATCCGAAGACCACGAGGATTCCGC